CTCACCGCCCCTGGGCCTCTGGCCTGTACCCCAGTTCTATATGCATAAATAAATAAGTCTTAAAAAAAAAAAGCACTCTTAGGGAAGCACTTTTGATCTAGGGATGAGCTTTTATCCCATTACTGCCACCCCCAATAGCCCTTGAAGCTCCAGGATTCAGAGAGCCAAGGAACCACAGTTACTACAGATGTGTCAAATCCCTTGTGCATGCTTGCTGGGAGACCATTGTGTTTTTGTTCTAGAAATGTACAGATGCCACAGATAAGCAACAGAGCAGGGAGGGTTTTAATCTCATCAAATTTCTTCACTCACCATACAGGTTAAACCTATATTCTTTCATTCTTTTTAGTCATTCAACCAGTATTCACTGAACACCAACTATGTGCCAGGCATTGCATCACAGAAAACAGGATACTACAATTCAGGGTAGATGGAGGGGAAATGCAGCCTACTTTGGTACACACCTGTGGAGAAGTCCAGGATGGTGCCCTGGGGGAAGGAAGCCTAGGTAGAGGTGACAAGGGATTTTCCACATGGAAGAGAGAGGGAGTGGAGGGTATTGATGTAGGAATGAAAAATGGTGATGTTTGCTAAGGGTCACGATGTTTGCTAAGGGTGCTGAGTCACAATGACAAGGCCTGTGATTGAACTCTTGACCTCTCAAAAGTTCCCTCTGGAGACCCCTCAAGAACAAAAGGAGGATTTTTAGATGTGACTCCATTTTAACCTACAGGGGGCTGCTTTATTTCACACACATGTAATCTAACTCTGCATAGCAAAAACATAGTAAACTCAAAGTTCTTCAAGGTAGAAACTCCTATTTCCCATAGTGTCCTCAGTACCTAACACAAGTCCTAGCACATAGTTGGTGCTCAATAAATTTTGTCGACCAAGGAAATAATAGAAATATCCTGATGATAAGTACTAATTCCTAATACCACAACTATAAGAGCCTCCCAATATCACTACTAAAATTCCCATAAATGTTTTGTAATTTACATTTAAATCTAAGACTAATTATTTTGCATTTTTTAAAATTGCTATTTTCAACTATGTATAATGATGAGAGTCACTGCATGGTCTCAATTCTCATCCTTGAAATTGCAAAGCATGTTGGTATTTAATCACATACCCTAGTAAATAGGTTATGTTGGCAATGGACCCTACAATCAGGATCTTTCCTTTTCTTTTTGTTTTTTTCAATTCCTGTTTTCTGGTAAAGCCCTGTTACTCTAAAAGAAATGAGCTATTTTAAGAAAGGCAAAGAAGGCTTAGATGCATACTATGTATGAATTATCTCATTATCCGGTTTTTGATCTTGTTTCTTAAGAACATACAGGATTTCCAAAACTAAATCAAGGACTCTAGGGTGTGGTGAGGTTGGGGTTTCTGATCCATTCTAATACTTTAATGGAGCTAACAAAGAATACTATCTTTTTCCTATTCAGTGACACCTAAAATTCTTTTTAATACAGGACAAGAGTAAATTGTAAAAGTAAATGACTTCAGTTGAAAGAGGTTTTGATGGAGATGCAGAAAAATGATAGTTTCAGACACCCGAGGGGATTGATCTAGGAATGAAAAGCAAACACTCAGACAGTTAAAACAAAGAGGGCAAGAAGAACCTATTTGTTAAATTGCATTTTGAGGTTGCAGAGAGGTTATTTTCAAGTTTATCTTTTTGCTTGCATCTAATTAAAAGAAGCAAATGGAAAAAATACTGCAAAGTTAAATATAGTCTTGATCCATTAGTTTGACAATCAATCAGCAAACTTGAGGCTTGATAACCTGAGAGAGATTTAATAAGAATCAATTAAAACATCTTGTTATAAAACAGGCAGCTGGAAAATTTCCCCTTCATCCAAAGAAACAATAAGAAACCAATATGGAAACCAAGGAGGGAAGTGCCTGTGTTCATTTGTACAGGAGACTTTATGAATGATTTTTCTCTCTAGCAATGTAGACTTGTAATTAAGAGTGTGTTTTTGAGTACTGCACTTTTAAAAAAAAAGTCAAGGACATGACTCGGTATAGCTACAGTACATGCAAATGAGGCTTATATTTGATTGACAGGGGCAATATGTTAACAGTACATTTTCAATTCTGAGTTGAGCTGCACAAATCATGATATAAAATAAACATGATTTCTAAATAATGCCAAATAAATTAAGCTAGTGTCAAAATTGCTAAACGATATCAAATTCAGTTTTCTCTGAGAACCTGGGAAGCCTAGAGAGCTGGATTGTTTAATGTCAAGTGCTTACTGGTCTTTCATGCTGCAGAATTGATGACTTCCCAGGTTCATATTCAAAAATACTCCTTGGCTCGGAACGAAATTTTCTTGTGTCCACTTTTCTGTCTGGAGGATCCCAGTCATGCCTAGAGATAAACAACAAGTTCCGTGTTGAAATAATTCTCAGTGCTCCAACTAGCTGCATAAACCCAAACACTACCTGTTTTCAAAGTTAATTTTACTACAGATTAAAAAGAAAATCTCTTGGGATAATAAGTTGAACTGCAAACAATATCATACTTGTGTTCCATTGTACAGAGATGATTTAAAGAAAGCCATTTCTTTTATTCCTTATATTTTGCTGTTTTTTCCCTCTACAGTGACTATCTTCCTGTTGACTCAAATACTCACAGGGGGTTTGTAGTCACACAGCCAGTGACCTGCTGGGCAGCCCTTGGGGCACAAATGACAGCTGTGCAGGCTTGTGTTTAGACTAAGTGGCAGTTATGCTCCTGCCAATGAGCTAAGTGAGCTTAGCCCACCCTTCCGTCACCAGGCGTTCTGGATCCACAGTGCCTAGGAGTGATGCAGGTGGCATCGTGGCTGGCCTATGAAAAGCACAGATGCACCACTGGGTGTGCCGTCCAGAAGAACAGCTGTATGCCCAGGAGCACCTCCTTTGAGAGCCAGACTCACTCTCTCCTTCCACAGGAGATATTGGCATGAGATCCTTCCTCTGAATTCTTTCAAGGGGCTGTGGAGGAGGGACTGAGAAAGTAAATCTCTTCCAGGTACCTGGGGCTACAGAACATCTCCTTGGAGAGGATCATTTTTGAGGAAGAAAGATTTTCTAACAATAGATGGAGGCTATTGTGGAATGAAGGGCTGGAAATAAAAGTGCTATAAGACATGAGAATCAGGTTCTGGTTCTCTAGTAAACGGATGCATGATATTTAACAGAGGTGTTTTGAGCAATGCATGAAACAAGTTCCATAAAAGTCATCTGGGAATTTTAAAGGCATTACCATAGTTCTTAATAAGTGATATGTTTTTACGAAATGCATTGGACAAATAAGATACTTAAGTCTGAGTTAAATTTTTTTATGGCACAGATGTCATTTTGTGTCTAGACAATTATTCCACAACTGTAAGATCTCATACTTTCTAATCATAGAATTCATCATGAGGTGATCGACATTAAAATGACACACATGATATGTGTCTACTTTCACGGGATCTTGGATCCTCGATTACTATCAGTTACTCTCAATGGAAATTTGATATGTATGGGATGGGTATGATAAAAGCTTAATAATTAGCATCAGTACTGAATAAGTTTAAACCTTTATTAGCTGCTAGTATAGTATGAAATTTGACTTTAGTATGGATTGGAATCACTAGCTGTATGAGTTGAGCCAGTTACTAAGATAACCATAGTTTTATTTCTCCCTAAACTGAGTTTAAAATAGAATATATCTCATCGGGCTATTCTCAGAATTAAAATGATATGATACAGAAAGTACTTAGTCGAGACTTGGCCTCATTGTGAGCTAGTGAGTAGGATCATTAGTCATAAGCCTAACAAAAATTAGTACAATAAAAGTATGTTTGTAATTTTTAAATCTTCATGTAAATAGGTTGTGTAAAATAATTCAGTGGGGGAAATGAAACATATCAGCTCAAAAAAAGTTAGCAGTTATGATTCATGGACATTGACTAACAAATACCTTATTTATCTTCCTATTTTCAAAGACATTTTTTTTTTGTATATCAGAGAGGATATATTAAGATATCTAACATTTCGAGTCTGAGGAATCTGAAAGTTAATGGCATAGTCTCTGACTTGCTATACCCAAAGGAGAATATGTCAGTTATCTTGACTTGTTTGTCCTTGTCTATGATTTCTTAAAAAGTAGAGCTTGTGTCCAGGTTGCTTCGAGACTTATATCATGACAAAATATGAACCACAAAAATGCTTGCTTCAGTCTCAGCAGGGGAGGCCCATGTGGCTCACCTATTGACAGTAAAATTATATAGAATCAGCCCTCCCTGGTGGTGCAGCGGGTTAAAGTGCAGCACTACAAGCAAGCTGCAGCTGCTTCAGAACGAGTTCAATCTCCAGCCCCGGAGGTGACCACATGGCGCGGCAGACCTCTCCTGACCCGCCCGCTGCTCCCCTCAGCAGTGTACTTGTCCATCTGCCTGTTCTGCTCCCCACTCTGTGTCTGGTGAATCCTCTCACCGTCCCTGCACCTCTGGCCTACACCCCAGTTCTATATGTTTAAATAAATAATTCTTCCCAAAAAATTATATAGAATTGACATTCAGTAAGCAAAGGTAACTTTGGGGCAAAATGCCTTACTTTTCTGTTGAAGACCGATCTCTGGGTCGAAGTGGAGGAACTGGAGGAGGTACGTGTGGGGGAGGGAGTGAGGAGGAGGCATCCTTGAAGACATCTGGGCCATTGTCCGAGTGGCTTTTGGACAGCGGCCTGTAGGTCTGGGTCTTTGCTGCAGGGTGCGACTGAGCACTATAGGGTGAGTTGTACAGGCCTATCAAGAAGAAACACAACAAAACCAAACAGAAGCAAATAACATTTTAAAAGTGCAACAAACAGCTAGTGATTGTATCAAAATAAGCCTATTTTTGATACATAAGGTAAGCATGCATAAGGTAGTCTGTTCTTTGAAATGTATTAGCATTATCAATTTATTAATCATTAATATATTAATTCATTATTAATGTATTCCACACACATGCACTGATTGCAGTAAATCTTAATCAATTATTTTGAAATTTGTAATAATCCAGACTAATAGTAGAAATAAACTTACAGGTACTCAGCATATTTCTCCTGGATAATATAAGCTAATAACATAGTTATGGTTACAGAGAAAGATTAAAAAAAAAAGATTAACAGTATGGTTTCTAATTATCTCCTATTACTTTAATATCTTTGATTTACATTTGATAATTGACATGTAAATTGCAATCAAAGTATTGAGTAAGTTATATATGTACTATGCAAAGCTAAAGAAACACCCTCCCTAAATTTATCATGCATTTAGAGAAATGGCACAAGCAGAGTTAGGGTTGGAAATTATTCAAGCATATGATCAAGGCCAAATGAAGAAAGTATATTAGATATTAAGGGATTTCAGAAGAGGGTGATTGGTCAGGGAAGATATTATGGAACTAATGGGGTTAGCATGAACTGTGCAGGTTTATCTGGGAAAGAGAGCAGCAGAGGTGACTCAGGGAAAAGAAAGGCAGAAGGTACCTGACTAAACTCCTGATGTGGAGTCAGTGGGAAGGGAAGGGGCTTTGTCTACTGATGAAATGCGAAAACTCTCTAAAGGACTCTGCAGCATTATCTGTAATAACTGTCCCCTTTACTATGAATCTAAATTTCAATCCTAAAAAATTATAAAATTCTGGATTGCCAATCCCTGATTTTTTTTTTTTTTTAAGATTTACTTATTTATGCATACAAGAACTGGGATACAGGCCAGAGGTTGGGAGGGGGGAAGAGGATTCACCAGAGACAGAGTGGGGAGCAGAACAGGCAGACTGACTGAAATACACTTCTTAGGGGAGCAGCAGGCGGGTCAGGAGAGGTCTGCCGTGCCATGTGGGTCACCTCCCTGACTGGGGATCCAACTGGTGCTGCGGTGGCTACAGATAACTTCTTAGTGCTGCGCTTTAAGCCACTGCACAGCCAGGCCCAACTCCAATCAATTAAGTCTGTTTTCACTCTTTTTTTCTCCTGAATGTCCATAGACAGCACCATGACAAATAAAAAAGGACAGCATCTGCACTTAATATTTTGCCTCAGTTCTAAAATTCAGACTGATTTTAGAGCTAAACACAGGAGATGAGCTGGGAATACCTACCACCAGGATTAAAAAATCCTCAGTGGGGGCCCTCCCTGGTGGTGCAACGGGTTAAAGCACAGTGCTGCAGGCTAGCTGCAGCCACTTCAGTGGGACTTTGATACCAGGCGCCCGCTGCTCCCCTCAGCAGTGTACTTCATCCATCTGCCTGTTCTGCTCCCCACTCTGTCTCTGGTGAATCCTCTCACCCACCACACCTCTGGCCTGTACCCCAGTTCTGTATACATAAGAAAATAAATGTTTAAAAAAAACCCCAAAACTCTTTAATGGGCCTCCTGCTATCACGTAGAAGAGTGAGGATGGAAAACCAGAGATCCTGCAACTTGCTTACTTGTTCTACTTGCTTCTTCCTCTTCTCAAACATTCATTTTTCAAGAAAGGTAACAGTACCCCTAACAGTTCAATGGCCTGAGTGTCTTTGGGTGTCAAGATTGAGAGAACCTCATGCAGACTCCCCTAGGGGAGTCTGCAGCTGCTGAAGAGAAGGTGAGAAGTTTGAGCCTGGGGGAGTCTGCTCTAAAGAAAGAAAAAACTGACCCTGAGTCCCAGTTTAGAGCCAGGGGCTGGGCAATGAGCGGCCCTGTGTGGGGTCCTCTGCTGTGATACACAGGAGGAAGGGGTAGGGAAAGTCCTTTTTCAGGAGCCTCCCACAGCCTGCACCACTTCTCCAAACACCAATACATTCAGATACCCACTGAATCACCCAGAACTGAAGTCATTCCATTATGACCATTGACGACTCTGGGTCAGAAAAGAGGGATTTTAAGAACTCCATCGATGAATGGTGGCATTTTGGAGCGAAAGCACGGACAAAGTCACAGCATTCATTGCTTGGCTTGTTTTTTGTTAAGTGTCTGAAAGATCTTACGCAACTCTGATCACTCTATTGATTTAAAGGGGACCTTTATCATATCTTGTAGCCCATTACAGTATGTACTTTCACAGCGCCCTTCACTCTGGTTAAACATTCCTGAAGTGAAGAACAAACTAACAGTGGGAATGAAGGAGATAAAAGATCATTAGTTCCCAATTCCATGAGAAAAGATCGATCCTTTTGTCATGCATGCTAGGAAAAAAGAAAAAAAGCATTCTCCTGAAAACGTGTGCTCAGAGAGACAAAGGGTGACTGCAGAGTTCTTCCAAGCAACACGGAGCATCCAGTGGTCATTGCAAGCAAGGAAACCCATCCTACCTGCATTATAGGTATAAGGAGTATTATACATGTCTGTGTCATCATCTAGAAAATGAAACATAAATATTTTGGTAATACAGATTCAGTCACCATAACAAGGAATAACAAGACAGCTGAATTCGGAGAAACAACAGAAGTTTATCAGAAAGCCAAGGTTTTTCCTGTTCATAGTGCTCTTTTCAAATTTCCACATATTAGTTTTTTACTAACAGAGCTTTGCACTTTGCCCTCTCTGTCAGCGTCCAATTTGCTGCGCGGTTCTCCTCACAGCATATGAGGTCTATCTCTTATCTCTATTTCCCAGGCAATCGTCTCTTCTGGATCATGAATTTATTTTAGTAAATGCCTTCATTCTTTCAATTCTGTAGGACCCTCCTGGGCTCACACCTGATAAGAAGCAGTTATGTGTGGACAGAGGAATATGGGTCTGTGTGAACTGATGTCATGCCATGCAGATGGTCAGTAGGCAAGGTCAAGGGCACAAAACCACAGCACCTGGTGTTCCTCCAAGGTCCCCTGGAACAAGCTTCTCAGCACCTCAGGGGTGAGGCAGAAGCACAGGGGTCTGTGATGTGAAGGGTGATCAAAGGAGAAGAGGACAGACATTGATAGGAAAGAGGGAAGGCTGGGAAGTTTACTAAGGTCTTGCCATTTTGTGTGAACAAAAACTGTATAAATGAGGAGTATACAATACACCCTTCAACCTACAAAGACTTATTACAAAACAGAACACACTTACCAGGCTTGTGCACCATGTGAATTTGCTTAAACATTGTCTTGTACCAGTCCTTTGGTCTGTCAACTGTCTATAAAAAGAGAAGGTCCAATGGTTACAAAATTGGTTCCAAACATTACTCCTCTTTCCATGTTTTATCTTTTTAAATATTAGATTTCTCTTTTGTGACCCCTTTTCTGATCTCTTACTATTCCATAATGACAGTATTGGTAATTAATCCAATTTTCCATGCAGTTTATTAATATATTACTCCTTATTTGAGTGAAGGTGGAATAGGGACATTAAGAGTTGTGATTTTATTTTTTCCAAATCATTAATTGTGTCCCACACTAGTTACTTGACATTTGTGCAAGCATATTTATATAAAATGCACAGAATAAAATTAATAGTGTTGTAATAGTTTAGCTTAACTCCTCAAATGAGAATTATCATTATCCTAAGAAGTTTTTAGTGTGTATTCTGTTCAGGACATTATTTTTAGAATTAATTAAGGAGGACATTTGACTCCAACTGTATTCTAAAAAGCTTAGACTTAGGGAAACAGAAAATTGGTATTGACTAGTCTAAGCTATGAAAATACTGAATGAATTTGGTATCTAGAGTCTTAGAGGAGATAAAAAAAATGTAGCTCTTATTTTAAAAATTAGCATAATAAAATATGCAGTATTTACTTTGCCAAATTTTAAGTTCCTTGAGAGCAGAAGTTCCTTGTTTATGCCACTAAGGCTTTTTGACATGATAGAAACAGCAGGTTTGTGAAAAGTTGAAATTAATGTCATATTAACCTAATCTTAAATCTTTGTTCCTTTAAAAAGGGTTTAATAGTTCCTACCAATAAGAATTTGGGAAAGTTCTAGGTAATCTCTTAGAACCTCAGTTTCCTCTTATTTAAAATGATATAATGACATAAGATGTTACAGAAATTGAATGAGGCAATACAGAAAGGCTTAGAAATGAGCAGAATATAAAGAATGACCAATAAATAATAACAACATGAAATGTCAAATATTTATAGAATAAAATTATTAAATTTGGGTTAATTTGGATAGAACTCCACCTTATTGTGTAAGTACGAAACACTATTGTATATTTATGAGTGTAGACATACACTTTTATAATCATAACTACAGGTTTTGTTTGGCAAGATTGTTACCTCAACATTTCCAAGTGACTCAGGGAAGCAATTCGTCCATTCTGTACATAGCAACTAAATATACCAGATTTCCTGAGGCAGTTCTCTTGAGATAAAATGTAAAAAAAAATCAGGACTGCCACAAAAGTAGTCTTGAACTTGAGAGACTGTATTTTGGTTTTCCTTTCAGTTATATGGTCCTTCCATGTTTCATCTGGAAATTGCTTTGTGCTGTATTTAAATTATTTTGATTTTAAGAATCTATGATTGTGGTGATCACCACAGATACAGACTAACAATTAAGGTTGACTTGAGGTGTTGCAAATCATCTCTACATTCTTTCTAGGTGCTTTGCTCAATGAAAAAATTGAGGGGACTGCTAATTTGCATTATATTTAAACAGTGGGAACTGAGCCACAAGGAAGGAGCAGAACTGTTATTTACTGGTGGAACAAAGTAGTTGGAAGCGGATCATAAATTATTGAATTCTCCTTCACTGAGCCTTATTTTCTTTACAGTATTCTGTAGGAGAAAATAAGTTGTAACTTTATGCAAAAATGTTTTCAACCATATCTGGACACACCAATGGCAATGAGGAAGCCTAATAATTTAGTTCTATCACTGTATATGGCAATGTAATTTGACAGACAGGATTTTCCCCCCTTCTCTTGCTTTCTTTTGCTGGAGGGCACATATTGGGTGGATCTCAGCTGAGCCATCTGCTAGCTTTATATGGTGAGTCCAGCAATGCCAGAAATGCCCCGTTGGTTGGCAAAGGGGAATATGAAACTGGTAAGAGAGAATACTAAAATTCTCAGTCCTTTTCTAAAAGAAGCACACTCAGCATTTAATGTTCCCTTTATAAATGTCACCAAGGATATTGTTGTGGCTAATGCTATAATTAAGTAAAAGTCTACTTAAATGTGAGGAAATTTGCTTTTGTACACATTCTTCAAAAGAAGCTTGCATGGACAGTACCTACTAGTTATTGCTTAGCTGATTTTTTTTTAAAGATTTATTTATTTATTCATACAGAACTGGGGTACAGGCCAGAGACGCGGAGGGTGAGAGGATTCACCAGAGACAGAGCAGGGAGCAGAATAGGCAGATCAACGAAGTACACTGCTGAGGGGAGCAGCGGGCGGGTCAGGAGAGGTCTGCCACGCCATGTGGACTCCTCCGGGGCAGGCGGGAATCGAACTCATGTGGAAGTGGTTTAAGCTTCTCAGTGCAGTGCTTTAACCCGCTGCACCACCAGGGAGGGCCCGCTTAGCTGATTTTTTATAACCTTGAACAAAGGTACCTGAATTACCTTCCTACAATTTACAAAACACTGGAACTCTGCTGATTTAGTACGCAGAGATCCCTTACTCCCAAAGGAAAAGATTCATAATGTCTATGCACCAGCTTATAGTTTCTCTGTTCACCTTTTGTCCATTTCCAGCTTTGGAAATCCTCAATAGTGTCATGCTTGAACTGGGAGAAAAGAATCTTGCATTTCATTTAACTAGAGGCCCTCACTACACAGTCTCATGGGATGGGAACCCATGCGATGATTGTCATGGGTAAGAATGGCAGTGAGCTCCCTTAGCAATGCATTTCAGTAGATCTGTCTGTTCTGCTCCCACTCTGTCTGTGGTGAATCCTCTCCACCTCCACCCTCCCACCCCCCCCACACCCCTGGCCTACACCCCAGTTCTTCTATGAATAACTAAATAAAAACAAATCTTAAAAAAAAAAAAAGCAGCAAAAGGTTAACACAGACATCCCAGGTCACATGAGAGAGAGAGAGCAGACTGTGGAACAGTTTCTGTTTCTTCTCATAACACAAAGGTACATTTTTTGACTCTTGGCTTTCTACAGTTTCCAGGCTACTTTACAAAATCCTGTTTCTTTGGTATTAGCTGCTTGTCTGAAATGGTACCACAGCACTGGACATTGAGGCAGTGCTGCCTCTGGAGGATACACTGAGCAGAAAGCCCCGCGAAGCAATCTGAATCTGATCATTTATTTCCCAGACAAATGAGGAAGAAAAACAACCTTGGAGAGTCTTGGCCTGCTCAACTCAGAGACAGCCTGACTCAATGCCTATAAACACAGCTATACTTGGGGATGCACTCTGCAAGGCTGAAAAATAGGAGGTGTGCGTAAGAGAAGAGCCTTGCCAGACCTTTGTAGGGTTCACCTTCTTTGTCAAGTTTGAAAAGTCTAAATAAGAGTATAGTTGTGTATAAAAATGATGGTTCCTTTTAAGGAACTTCTGGGTTGCTTACATTTTATAGAAAGGAATCGAGTATTGAATATTTAATTTTTTGATATGTATTTTTTAATATATATTTTCTAATTTGGCAGTAAACAAACAATGTAAACATTTTAATATTGCTCCATCTTTAGCCAGCACTTCAGCTTTCTTCTTTTAAAAACTAACAAGTAAGGTCACTGCTAATCAAGAAAACGATGTCATATGGAACCAGCTTTACTGGATCATTTTTTATAGATCATGTATTGACTTAAAAACCCACCCAGAGGTCTCAGATACAATCCTTTCAGACCTAATCTTTACACAGAAGCAGGAGTTTCCTAATTTGCAAATGTATATGCCTCAAAAGCTCAATTCAAACCAACAACACCATTTTGGCCGACACTGTGTCCCTACATTATTAGGAAAGAATCTAATTGAACCACTTGAGTCAGAAAACTTAAGCATGAAACAAACGACAAAACACCATACCCAGGACATGGTGTTGTAAGGTTAAAAACGTGAGTCACCATCCCTGAACTTTCCTGTCCCTTAAATATGACAATCATCCCTTCCAACACTAGTTACAGTCACCCTGCCCAGACCATAATTAGTCTAAAACGCCAGGGACTGCTATCCAGCTTTACTCTTTGAGTACAGATTCCTGGAATATTTGATTTTTAACTCTTCTCTTTATGCATGGAACAAATTAATCAAAGCAAATTCAAGGAGGCAAGAAACCGGGGTAATCTGTCTCTAATCCGTTTTTTAGGGGCTCCAATCTGACTGAGGCTCTTTGATCTGCTCTCTTCCCCATTCTTTCCCTCTGGCCACTATTGTCTCGGTGTCCTCCCTCTCCCCTTCTGAATTTCAGCGAAGCAGCTCTTGGCAACACCCAGCCCACACCCGGGGGTCCGCAGGCAGAGTGTATGCAGCCAGAGCGCCCCTCCGCCACCGCCCCGCCCCCATGTCACCTGCAAAGGTGCTGCGGCTCTCATGCTGTCTCCTCAGTCCTCTCGCAGGCAGCGCAGACCTTCTCTGCGAGTGGACTTGGTCACAAGCAGCTGCCTGCCCAAGCTCTCACTCCCAAGCTCTCACTCGCCGCCTCTGCTACCGGAGCTTTGCCAGAAGGGGCTGCCCTGCCCTGAGCTATGCCTTGGCAGAGTTTAAAGACTAAAAAAAAAATCCAGACACTTTCACTTGTCATCCCCAGAGAGCTCTCAGCAGGCACAGCTAGCTGAGCAGGGACACCTCCACCGTGCATTCCCTTTCCACGACATTAACAGCCTCCACTCCCATCTTCTCCCTGAATTCACAGCTCCCGTAGCCTGGTGTTAACACACATCCATTTCAAGCAACACACCACTGGGCTATTTGCAATGCACATGGGAATTCAAGGCAGCTAAAGAATCCACATTTTCTCCTTCCTTTACTTTTCTCTATGGTCCTAACTCCCCTGGCAAAAGGTAAAAAACAAAACAAAACAAAACAATGACACTGAACAAAACATACTTTTTAAAAAAGAAAAACACCGGGTCATTATCTTTAGTCGACAGTCCCCTTCCTCTGCCACACACAGCATAATATTCATGAGGACTTCCATGGCATGAGGGCAAGCCTCATTATATAAGACCCTAGGAATGCACAAAGCCATTGACAATTCAGTCTTTGTAGAGTCTGCACCGCCCCGAGCAAGCCCCTGCTGGCATTTCTTACCGTTCTGATAGCTGTGGGGATTCCAGATTCATCCACAGGCCCGATCCCTGGGTAATGCGGGGCTTTGATGACTGTCACTCTCTTCTCTTCCTCTGACGACCTGTACAGTGGCATCGAGCTGTCCAGGGACTGCACATGCTGAGGATATGTCTCTGTGGAGTCTGTGGGGGGAAAGTAGGGGTAAAAGGCTCTAGGGGATGTGTCAGCCATCCGAAATGAATGGTGCTTGAGTACATTTATGCTGATGCAACAGAAAGCCTGCATCTCCAGCACCATCTCTTTTACTCATTTACCTTAAATTTGAGTCACTCACTGTTAACGTGTATATTGAATTGAACGGATGAAAGGTCCTCACCATTTTATGTAGAAAGGTGAGGGGAAGAAGAACATTTGTTGAACGTTGGACCTTGGACCTGTGGCAGCCACTGTGTCAAGAAAACACTGTACACACATAGCCTCATCTTACCCTTCTAGTAACCGTTGGGTGGAGAGGATTCCATTTTATGAGGGGGGCGGAAACTATGACCAGTTTAGCAAACTTCTCTTATAACTTATATTTTTCTATAAATGACATCAACATTATTCATTTTTATGTTTATTTATTATTATAAAATGTATTATATTCATATTATTTTAAAATTTACATTAGTACAACAGATAGGACTATTGAGTCTATGATGGAGATTTTCATAAAAATAAAGTTAAAATAAAAATCACATTGAAAATATCATAAGCAGACATATATTTGGATGTGAAGGTTTATGGATAAATAAATGGTTGCAAATTGTTAGCATTCGTTTCTACGGAAGTAGCCATGATGATGGTAATAGCTTTGGTTTTATTTTATTGTAAAAAAACCTATGGCTTCTCACCTCTTGAGTTTAAAAACTGCACGAATCATATAGACTAGATGAGATTTATCAGGTTCTTATGTTCATGCCATCTTTATTAACTTTCAGCATAATTTAATCAGAAACAGGTCATACATGTACGATGTATTCCACTATTAATTCACAGATATTTAAGAAAATAAACTTTTTATCATTCACCTGGTACAATTGATAATGTGTCTTCCTATTTTTCTCCAATCAGTTTTGACATCAATGACCAAAAATGATTCTTTGTCATGGCTTATCACATTTGTCACTAGGAAATTCTCTTTTTATGTGTCTATGGGACAGTCCTGATGTTTGAGAGTAGCATTGATTGATTATACCCCTCCCTCCACAGATGATAAAGATCTCAAAAGAAATGACTGTTTATAGAAAATTTATATAAAATTTTACAATGAAATTTTAGAAAATTTATTATAAGGATAAAGATTAGATCTCTAAGTTAACACCTTATAAGATTTATAAATGCTGCTACTATTACTATGGTTTTTATTTTCAATTTTGCTCAAAATTGAAATACAAAATACAAAAGTATTTTCATCTAATGAAGAATGGAAAAATTAGGAATAAACCCATGTTTTACACTGTTCTTTGTAAATGCAGTATCTTTTTCAAGCAACTGAAAATTAAGAAACAGTGTGATATTTGGCTATGGTTTTCTATTTAATTTCAAAAAAGGGGGTGACTGGAAACCATGAAACTAATATTTCTCTCAAGCAACAAGTATCTCTGAGCACCTAGCAGGTGCAACGTCTCAGCCTAAGCAAACAATAGCAACTCTGTCTTTACACCGTGTTTATAAGATACTGTGAAGATACTATTTATAGTTTATATAAAAACAGTTTAGCCTTTTATTTTATTATCCTCTTATATGGTTCATAACTCTCACTTTTGCAGTCTATTGTCTTCAACTAAACAAAGTTTCTCTAGGATGGAACAGATTTATATTTTCTTGGGACTTGGCATTGACCAAATGGACTTTGTTCAATGTTTATTTAGGAATTTTGTTCCATGTAGTACAGTTTATATGTAAAATCTACCTACTGATAACTTTTAATATAAAAAGCCTGTCTACACTCAAGTATTTGTCTGCTTTAGTAGGATGGGAGGGGGGAATCATGTTTATGATGTCAGGCAATGGGGCAAGAAATCAGACTTGGGTCATTATTTGGGAAAATGTTATGGTTAGAATAATTTCTAGATAATGTATATTATTAGAATCATTTACTCTAAGTGTGTGATCCTGCATAGATCCACACAAAATCTAGATAGAATACACTCCCATTACAGAACTCTACTGTAGATTGTTTGTGTAAGGATGACATTTTGGCATAAGGAACTTCCACTCTCTTCTACTTAAAAGGACATCACTGTAAGATCCACAGATGATCCCCAGAGCAGCATCAGAGAAGACATAAGTATATCTGGCTTTTCCTTTAATGACTCTCCTGGGTCCATGTAAGTCATCTAGTTATAGAGGTTTGTTTGACTGGAGAAGATGGTCTCACAATGTCTGTGCTGGAATTGGGCGGAAGATGATCCTGGGTAAATTAACGGCATCAGGCTCTCTCCAAAAAGCGGTGTTTGGGAGGGGTGCCTGCTGTCAGAGGAGAACAGCAGATAAAACCCTGTGACTTGGGGGGATGGCCAGAGGACTTGTACCCTCCCGCTGCCCTTCTGAGAGGTGAGCGGGGGACCCTCATTGCTTGGCTGCTCTCCTTTCTCACTGCCCTGAAGACTTCTTGCTGTTCACAATCAGGGAAATTTTTTTCAGTTGAAATTCACACGGCAGTTTGATTTGTCCTTTTTTGCTAATATTTTGGGTTTTCCTTTTACATTTTTTAAAACTAAGAAATATTCGTTATATTATTTGTTAAATTGTCCTAATGCATTTTGTTACACAAAATGTTCCTATCACTGGCCTCTCTGGTGGTGCAGGGGTTGAGTCCCAGTGCTATTAAGCTATAGCCAACCAAGATGGCAGGAGTTGGCCAGAAAGGTGACCCACATGGAGCAGCAGACCTCTCCTGTCTTGCTTGCTGCTCCCCTCAGCAGTGTATTTCATTGGACCTGCCTGTTCTGCTCCCCACTCTGCTTCTGTGAATCCTCTTACCCCTCTGCACCTCTGGCCTACACCACAGTTCTTGTATGCATAAATAACTAAAATAAATCTTAAAAAATATTTCCATTCTTAAGTAGCTCAGCTTCTTGCCAGGAGGTTTCAAAGAGTTCATGAGCCCCATGAAAGTTGTTGCTTAACATTTCATGAATGGTCAAATTCACTGTTTTTTGTTCTGGAGGTGAGTTATATCTTCCCTCTAATTTTTAACTTTCCACTATAAGATGATGCACTATCTGTTAAAGGAACTCACATCCCTAGCTCATGGTCTTTTAGATTTAGTTTGTATAGTAGTTAACTACTTTGGGAAGCAATGGTTTTATTATTTACTACTAAACAAGGCAATACCTCCTCTTATTAGATTGTTTTAATGGTTAAAGCAGTACTTTATATCAAAAAAAATTTCTGCAATGAAACTCTAATCAAAGAATGGGCTACCCTGCACAGATGGCTTTGCTGAAACTGCACTAGGTGAATATCCTGGTGGGCTGACCATGCCACTGGCCAACCAGCCCTTTTTTCTCTTCCTACCCCACCTCCCCCAACATCTAATGGCCTCCCCCAACTCAGATGTAGAAGCGTCAGCATTTTGAAAACTGGGTACCTGCTTCCTCCAAGGTCCAACTCCCTACCCTTACCTGCTCCCCTGGGGTAGGGATAAGGTCACTGATAGTAATGTGTTGAATGCTCCTGCATCCTCTCTCTCTCTTTTTTTAAATTACTCTGATACTTAACGTTTTTCTCATGTACCTGCTATTTTGAAATTGTCATGAAATAATGACAATCAAATTACTCACCAAGCGACCGGCCATGGTGCATGACAAGGCTGGAATTGAATGAACCTGGGAGCGAGTAAGCGGACGGGGAAAATGGCCTTTGATAATAACTCACTGGACTCACAGCAATTCCAGAGTTTCCATTCACGGTTATCTGGCTCTAAGAGAAGTGCAAAGACATCCAGTTAAACGTTGGAGTCCCTGATGAGCACCATTCCTTCATGTGACAGCAAAAGACTTCTGTTCACATGACAGTAACCAACGTGTCAACTTCTTGTTTACTTTGCAAACTGATGTCTACAAGGGCAGGGCACATTTTTTCCCCTGATACCTTCTCTGTGTCTTTTTATTTCTAAAGATCACCTTCTCAGATGTCAGAGGGCCTAGGAGGCGAGTAGGAAATATGGGAGCAGCTGACCAGTGGGCATGCCACTGTGCCAGGGGAGATGCCAGAGGTATCAGGAGGTGCCAGTGTATGTAAGTTTGCTCTTACAACCACGACTTAAGTGGTCAGAGCACCGTCACACTACTCTACATGTGGGCTTTGAAATGAATGGTCTGTGACATGAGGGAAGGGGTTGTTTCTTAGTCTTAAATGGGGATATCCTTGAAGTGAATAAGTGTTTCCAGGGAAAGGTGACTCATGGAAGGAACACAATTGCTGGATTTACACATCACAAAGCAATCTATTCTTGGAGAATGAATACCTGGCAAAACATTAGAAGACATGTGATTGATTTATAGCTGAGTATCTTATACCTTCCCTCTTATACTCTTCCCTCTTTCATGCTTCTCATTGGAGATGTACACATATATGTATACTTTTTCAATATCTGTATCTTTTATAACATAGCAACCTGGTACTAATAACATAGCAGATATTCGCTAGATACACATCCTAACTGAATTGAATCAGCTTAGCTCAGAGACTGAGCTCACCACCATTAAGTAAGCTTATCTCTCCACAACACAGCCCTAAGCATTGTAGAGATTACATATTACATGCAAATGAGACAAAACATTAGTAAGAGCACTTAGTTAAAAGGATTGTACAGCTGAATACACACACAAACACACATGTGTACATAAAGAACTATACTGTGAGCTTTCTGTATTTTTAAATTTAAAATCTATTAAATCATCTTGAAACAGATGGAAAATTCATTTCATATTTCTATAATTTTCACTTTCAAGTAGTTGTTTTCCAATGACCTAGAATAAAACTAATTTTATTACTTTGTAGCTATGTCACAACTATCCTAAAATCAATAAGCATTTCATTATAGAGATTGTGCTTTATTGATTAAGTACTTTCTTAGTTGTTACAGAAATCACTCTCATATCTTAAAGCCATGTCTTGAGGGTCATCTCTATGAAGAGCACAGGACATTCAAATGACCATGAGTCTCTGACCTCCTACACAAAAGTTTCAAAGGCTTTATGTGCCTTTGATGGGTTATTTGAGAATATTTTTGCAGTCTTGCCCAAGTTTGGCTGAACTTTGTAAATCTAATTTTAATATTGCTATTATAACATGTCTCAAAAGCAAGAAAATACACATTAAAAGCTATCACAGCCCTCCCTGGTGGCACAGCGGGTTAAAGCACAACACTAAGAAGCTAAAGCCACTTAAGCATGAGTTCGATCCCTGCCCCAGAGGTCACTCACATGGCGTGGCAGACCTCCCCTGACCTGCCCACTGCTCCCCTCAGCAGTATACTCGTCAGTTGGCTTGTTCTGCTTCCCATTTTGTCTCTGGTGAATCCTCTCACCACCCCTACACTTCTGACCTATACCCCAGTTCTGTATGCATAAAGAAATAAATCTTTTAAAAAAAATTACATTACTAGTTCACTTAAACTTAGGGAAGTTGCCCCAAATCCATCTTTGATCATTGCTATACTATTGATTAAGGACTAAATATATATATATATTTTGCAAACATATTTACTTTTCATCATGTTAAAACAATTTGGAACTTACTAATGAAGTAATATTATTATGAAAAATCAACTCATGAAACTCAAACTGCTCCTTGATTTTAATTTCAGTTACAAACAGCTCCAGTTATGCCCACAAGACTACATGTATCCCTCTCAGGCTACTGGAGAGTCTTAAAAAAAAGAAAGATAAATAGTTTAGCATGTAAATGAATTCACTATTGCTGCTTTGTATTTCTGATTAGAAATCCTAACATTTGTTAAGATTTTATGCTGGCTGAGCTTCTGGCACCAGAGGGAGGGAGGCAACCTGGGTGATGGTGAACTCGGAGAGGGAGATGCCTATAGTCAGTCACTAAAGGGAACATTTCAGAGCAAAGTTGTATACCCACCCATTGGATACCAAGACCTGTCAAAAGTATCACTGAGTATATAGTGACTATACTGAAAAAACACCCTTTCTCTCCTGTAATTGCAGTATTTTGGAAAACTTATGACTTACAATCTTTATCCTTTTGTGAAATTTGCAGATTTATATTGTGATACTCGATAAATCTATGCAGCAAACTAAAATCTTATCTAGGAATTTAATTATAAAATCAATCAGAATTTTTTTTTTAATTTCATTAGGAAGTCAAGTTTAGAAAAAAATACCCATGGTTTGCTTAAAGTTATGTGCTTTTCAAATTGAAGTCATTGTTTATATATTATATGCAATTGAAAAATCTGTGCTGTAAAATTTGGAAGCATGTTAGTCATTCAGAAATCATGTATTAGGGACTGCAGCTCACCATACAGACATGTTTATGTGATATAATATACATCGGAAATATTTATGCATTGTTCTACATGTAAGATAAATTATTCACATATAAAATAATAACATGTTCATAAATTTCTATACTGGCATGATAAAAAAAAAACCCACGGGTCTAAATTTCTATTACATAGGTTAAGATTGTTTACATCCTTCAATCCTATACGATAGATGAGTTAGCCAGTTAGTGACAGGAGAGCAAGAAGTAGCATTATGCCACCAACAGTCACATAGGTGACGACCAAGACGGTATAACTCTCTACACAGGACATATTCCTGATTCTCCGAGGCGGTGTTACCTACCAGAAGTTAATACTGGGTTGAAATTTTTGAACAATTGTAGATTTTCTATCTAATCTAATCATCATAATATACATAAGCCTATATAAATTTCTAAGATATTCTATTAAGGCAAGCCAAAGTACATCTGGTGAGGGAGAACAACAGTGTAACTCTAAAGTGAATGAGGAGAATTAATTTTCAGTCCAAGGTAGACATCTGAGGATGACTGCAGTGGATTTCCTTGATGGACTACATAGAATCAGTTGACTAATCAACACCTATGCGAACAAAAATGCCTTGCGATAAAATGAGATGGCAGATGAAGAACCAGTCCTTTTGGCCTTTGGAGATCTGTTTAGAAAATGATGGAGACAAAGGAAGAATAATTACATGCATGGCAGCAGGGGTGAGTAAGGTGGTGCCATCTGTCACAGCAGACCTCTGATCTAAGGTGGGGGAAGGTGTTTCAGAGCGGTCAGAGGTGTCAGGGTCGGCAATCAGCAGCTCATCTGAGATGGCTGGGGAGGACAAGCCCGAGGAGGCGCGGGAAGACAGCCTGCCCTCAGAGGAGTCTGTAGTGGGAGCGCCTGCGGTGGTGCCCCGGGTAAGGCACTCCAGAGCGAGGAGAGGGGAGTTACATACACAGAGGGGAGGGGGCAGGGATCTGTGCGGGTGTGAAGGCCGCAAGTCAGCAGGTAGAGGCAGGGAAAGTGATGCTGGGCTGAAACCACCATCTAGTGAAAAAGTGGTTCGATAAAGAGGTACCACAGAAGGAGGGCACGAAGAAGAGGCTTCTGCTGTGGTTTGTCTGTGTGTCTGTGAAGCATTTACCTCCGGCACATTGGCAGTTAAGTTCTGGTTTCCAAGCTGAGTTTGAGGAGAAAATAAGAAGAGAATGTAAATGATCCAATTAATAAAAACAGCTCTTGTTGCAATGTGGCAGAGAACGCAAAGCATCAGTTTTATCTGCAGGCACTTTAAGGAAATGCTTTGAGAAGGTTAAGTGCCAAACACAGAAAAAGCATGAAAACATGAAGAAGCTGAATCCAGTTAGTGTATTTGGGGGGGAAAACCAGTTTTCACACGGACTTGTGTTATAATTTTGGTTGAGGCTTGAGAGCACCAGCAAAATGAAGTGTCCCTCTGAAGTTTTAGTTTTTGTATTTGCGACAGTGAAATGATATCAGGTTGTCTGATGTGCATCAGCATTAGTTTTCCCATTTCTAGAAAAATCTTGTAGTATACTTCTCCTTACTGTCTAGCTCCAGAAAATGTTCCAAAAATATAAATTAGATGGCCTCAGTTTTTTTCTGACTCATGAATCTGAGGATTGATCAAACCAGAAACAAATAAGTGGAAATGGAATTTGGTTGCCTTTCTGTTCACTGAATCTTTTCTTTGCATTCATTATAAAGTACTGAAAAAATGCATTTTAAAATAGCCTAGCAGTGTAAATAGAGGTACCGTATGTGTTAAAACGAAGTGCAAAGGAAAACCAGCCGCTGCTGATGGTGAGAACATCTCCTACATGGTTAGAACAACTATTGGGTTTAAATCTTAGAAGAAAGGAGAAAGAAACTGAAAGAAAATGACAAGGTTTAATACCACTGAGGCTGTGTAAGACAAGGAAGAAGCAAAAGGAGACTGGAGAGATCTCCTGTCTCCATTCAAGACACTATGGGGGTGTCTGTAAGAGGAGAGGGGAGGGCTCACTGAAGGTTTCATAGCTATTTGTTTTAACGTTGACGATGTCTCCACACATTAGAGACGATGATGTGGCAACTTCGACAGAATGGACACACCTTGGAAGCTAATTTTGTTTTCCTCTTCTCCACTTTTGAAGAAATGGTTCCTTTTTAGTATTTGGTGTAGTGTCAGTTCTAAGGGAGATAGACTATTAGTGCAAGGGTGGGGGATGGATTAAAGAGAACGATATAAACTTAAAAATCTAGCCTCGTAAAGATTTACGTGGTACCATTTGTTGTTGTTGGCCAATCGTCATTTTCGTAGGAGTTGATGTCATACTAGCTATTGATCTCATTAAAAAAATCATAATCTTTTTCCTCAGACTTTTAATTGAGTAATTAAAAAAAATTCTCCATCTAAAAAGGTATCTCTAGG